GACGATTGCACGGAAGCAAGTCCAGCAGTGCATGTGGGTGTTATTGGCCCCCAAACATCTCCTCCTCGAGCTTTGCTACCATTTATTCCATGAATTTTACTCTCGTCTGGTAACCCGGCCGCTTTTTTTCCTTCTCTTCCACAATCTGCTCCGAATATTTCTGGTGGTCGGCGCACATTGCTTTCTGCAGAGCGTACTCAGCAGCCTTGGTATCGAGGGCAGCAGACTTGCTTTCCTCTACCTCTTGTTTCAGTCGCCACTCAGATTTCTCCGATCCGCCAAGTGGCAGGAGCGGCTCAACTTCTAAGAGTGCGGTTTTCATGGCAACGGACGTAGCCTCTGCCACGCTCTGCCTTCCCCCCTTCTTTTTCTGCATCGTCCCCCGCCTATTCTGCTCGTAGAGCCTCGCGCCCTCCCGCTTGGCGGCCGCCAGGCGCTCGGCACCGCCTGTACAGCCATTGCCGTCTCCGGTTCCGTCGTCCTCTCGCTGAGCGTCCTCCGGGAGTAGATTGTTGCACACTTGGTCAAGCTCGGGGTATTTCTCGATTGCGCAACCGAGAATGTACGTGTCCGTGTCCCCTGCAAAAAAAAAAAAAACCGCAAAGCGCGGGCGGGGAGGGTCTGTATGGAGCAATTGGAAAGGTGTTTGGTCTTGCTTCAAAATACACGAAAAAAGTTCATGGTGCAGACAATCCTTTTCAATCAGGCCTCAAGGTGGACGTCATCCCGGGAGTACGTTTTACAACACTATCGACAACTCCAAGTACAACATCAAAACTCCGACCGTAGCAGCACTTACACGCTGAAGTACGATCGGCACAATTGACGCCACGGCCACAAAATCGCTCAAGGTTCCTGGAGAAAACAGACGCTGTTTCATACCCAGCCCTACGTTACCCATCTCTTACCTTGGCAAAATGAAAGCCATGGCTGGTTGTTGCCGGATTCACGCTTCCAGTTGGCATTAGGCGTGTTCCATTTCGCCTTTGCCGCAGACCACATCTTGGTGATCTTTTCCGCCGAGATGTTGGGTTGCTGGATGATGTTCGGGTTGACGTGACTCACTAGTTCGTCGTCCACGGATATTCTCACCTGAAAAACGTCCACAGCACCCATAGGTCAGGCATACCGCGAGGGAGCGAGGGAAGGGGCAACGAAGATCATACACGTGTTCTTTATACCTACCTACAAAGATGACGCACCCCGGACGTGCGAGAAATTGAACTCGATTTCGATACGAAAAAAAAAAAGAACGGGGGGAATGCACCTTTCTTGCGGGAAGGCCCAATGTCGGTCTGTTCCCGGCCTGTTATTTTCTTCTGGCATAAAATATTGTCTGGCTATCAGTGCATTCTTTTGAAATTTTTCAGCGCGTTTTCAATGTCATTCACTATAATAGGCAACGAAGCAACTACAGCAGTATCTACAGCAGTGTGGTCGTCGGCGTCAGCAACAACTACATAATTCACCGGTAGACGTCAACAGCAGGTTGACCCGCTCTTGGGGTTGGATACCTAATGGCATTTTACCTAAAACGATGGCGCGATCGTCCGTGGACGTTATGAGGTGTTGAGTACCATGCCTAAAAATAACTATCAATAAACGGAATGTGTTGTCAACATACACTTCGACTGCTGTTATTGTACAACGTTCTCGTCCGATCCGTACTAATCAACACCCTACCCCCAGCACGCACATTGTGGCGAGGGTCTCGGAAGCGGTCGGTGACCTCTGTCCACAAATGTTTCCGCGGCCCAACTGCTGAGTTGTCCAGCTCCTGTCGGGTCGCCTGCAAGCGGCTGTTGATGACAAGTGGGCGGATGGAGTCTTCGCACAGCATCCCAACGAGCCGCATCATGCAGTGTGGGCCCTTGCGCTCCGTGATGTTGCCACTCCCTCCGGCGGAACCACCCCCGTCCGGTCCGGCTGCACCACCCGTCGACGAACTCCCGCCGGCAGAATCCTCCAGTTCCGGTTTGTCTTCCTTCTCCATGGCGTCGTAAAGGTCCGCCACACTGCTGTAGTCCACACCCTCGACTGTAAACGGTTCAGTACTGTCACGTGCTAGGGCGACCATGTTGACAACGCCTCGAAACATAAGCAGCGCACTCGCAGGGATGGCTCCCTCCTCCTCCCCCTCCTCCTGCTCGCTGCCGCGTCCAGATTCGCCTGCGCGAACGCCCGGATATGAGAAAGCGGCCCAGACAATGAATGCGCCTTCGCATGAGAGGAAGCCTCAGGTGTACACGCCCAAGTTTGGCAAAACTACATATTCCTAATGACTGTCCTCCACAAAACATCGTTCACCTTACCTTACTTCCTCTGGGCGTGAGAGGACAGAACACCCAAATATTTACCGTATTGGTCGGTGCACCACCGATTGAATATCGTCAAGAAAGCATGCCGTGTGGTACGCTGTGAGTGCCTTCAATATCCTACCTACTGGGCCAAATAAAACAGCTCTCGAGCATGCCGTATACCTGCTACTGCTGTACATACAGGTTGATTTGAAGCGGGCACTACACACACACAGCAGTAATTTTGTTTGGTTTCCTCTGCGCACACTGCGTTCAATTGCAGAGTAACTATCTATATTTTGTCGATACTCTGTGTCGTCTGCTGGGACTCTAATCGACGACGAATCTATACAATACCAGCATCTCACCGGCTGCGATAGCATCGAGGTCGTCGAAGTACGGAGATGGCCGTTTCATGTTGGCGTCGAGAGATCGCAGGGCCGCCACCAGGACACCCTTGCTCTTCTGCGACATCCTCGGGATCTTGCGGTGCGCGCATGTCCGCTTCAGAAAGTGTGTGGCCCAGTGCGGGTAGTCCTTGCCCCGGGCTTTTTTGGCACTCGCGTGATGGGATGCTGCTGCTTTATTCCCGGCGGCGCCTTTCGCTTGCCGTGGTTAGTGGTCCTCGTGCCCGCTCCCCCTCCCCCGGTTATTGCTTCCCGAATTTCCTTTTCGAACACAACATCTCCCGACTGTGAGCCAATGTCCGACGGAGCTGAACTGTCCTCTACCGACACATTGCTGCTGCCACTTGACGTCGGGCTGCCCCCCCCCTCGTCGTCGTCGTCGCCGCTCTCCGACTCGGTCCAGTTTTTTGGGGGGCGTCGTCAAATCGCTTGTCGTTGAGAACCTTTACTAAGGCCGCCTGACGAGCTTGCCGATCAGCTTCGTCCGAGAAGCCCGGCATCATCACCGCACCAGGTGGAACACCCTGTTGTGTACCAGTATGGGGGGTAACCCTGCTGTGAACGGCCTGGCGGGCCATGCCGCTCGCCATGCCGCTCGGTGCCCGCTGTGCCGCCCCAGCAGGCGCGGTCTGGGCGACCCCATGCCCAGCAGCAACACCACTTTCACCAGCATCCTGCAGTCTCAGAGGCAACGATTTCACTCTAGATGGCCGGCCTGCCGCTGCTACGGCGTTGTTGTTCATGGTGTGGGTTTATCGCGTCTGCTGTGGTATGCCTCGGGCCTCTCGCCTGGTCGTGACCGGTGTGTGTACGTCGGCATCGACGCTTTCCGGGATTTTGAAAAAAGGGCGCGCCTCTGCCGATTAGAACCAATGGAAAACCCGGAACCGGTTCCGTGTTAAAAATTACGAATCGGTGAAAAAAAAGGCCGGATCGATAAGAATCAGCCTTGCAAAGAGAAACTCTGGTCGCCCCGGTGGTCTAGTGGTATCCTCGTAATCCGCCAGTTGCAGAGGTTGTGAGTTCGAATCCCCTTGGGGTGATAAATTTACGAAATTTGCGGCGAAAGCGAAATATGGCTAAAAAAGCGCTCGTGAGTACTAAACTTCGACGTGAGCACCGTTGACAAGGGAAAGGGACGGCTGGATCCTTCTGGCGATAAAAATAAAAATTCAGCACGCACCGCAGGGGGAACGTTGGGCATGAAAAGAAATAAAAAGAAGAAAACAAGCCCTGGTGTTTATTTACTCCCTCCTGTGTGACCCTGGGTGGTTGTAGTTGTACGAAAAAATAGACGAAAAATGGGGGGACTGTCGCCATAATAAATAGGACGAAAACACACACACACGGAGAGAAAATTTCACTCTGTCGGGCCTCGAACCCATAGCCTGGCCCTTGGCGAACTGCGAGGCTACCAACTAAACCACCGGGGCGATCGGTGTGTGTACATGTCACGTGTGTTCCACGAACATATCTATGTTCACACCTGACATCGTTTTTATTCTCTACCCAAACTCGAGTTCCATGCCCAGAACAGGAACTGTAACAACAACAAGGTGTTGTGCCTCATGCCACGAGAGAGAACCGTCCCAACCTAGAGAGAGATTTGCGTGCTTCGCCAGAGTCTTGGTTGAAGTATAGTTGCAAGAATACCGTTTACTCTCCACCCGTGTGTGTCAACTGCTGTTATCAACGGAAACCTGGTAGACCGCCGGCACCACCCACCCACAACCATCGTTCCTCGTCCTCGAGACAGACCACCCTCCCTTGCTATCCGATCTCCGATTCCCTGACAGACTACAGCAAATGTCAACCAAAGAACGGACGGTGGAAGAGATTCTCTCTCGCCGTGACTCCGATTGAGTGAAACTAACACTGAATTATTTGGAGGAGGGAAACGGACAACCCCATAGGGAGAGACAAAGGGGGACAGACAGACAGACAGGAAGAGAAAGAAGGCAGACAGAAAGAGAGAGAAGACAAGACAGACGGAAATATACGCGGAGAAAGGTGATGGATACCCTCGTTATTAACACACTCCCCCCCGGTGTTCACCATCGGGGTTGGGTTTTCGTCGCTTGGCAACGACGTTGTAAAACAAGCCAATTCACTTCGTGAACTCGGCAACCAGGTTACCGTTTATTTTTTTTCCCGTTTTTTATTTGGCGGTAACCATAATGGTGGTCGATAGATCGTGTTGTGCGGGGTGGAGAACCCTCACTCCGCGCAAGGGGAATGATCGCACCACGTTGTGTT